GCAGGAATGAAGCATTTGTCAAATTCTGTACACATGCAATGTCTCAAAAAAATTTGTCATACCTTTACTTTTATTTTCATGTCAATATTGTCTCTCCAATTACCTCAATAATCTAATGCTTCTGTTGTGATCATTTGTTTTGCACTGCAAAGCTTGCTTTGGGCAATCCTGTTTTCCCTCTCTGTCTAAACCTTTTGGAAAAAGCTGAGTGAAGTCTGCAGATACACAAAATTAGAGCACCCCCTGCATTAAGGCTTGAGAGCACAGTGACATAAGAGGCACTTGTGTCCCACGCAGTGGAATAGAGTGCAAAGAGTCCTAAGCCAGCTGAGACTCCAGCCAGTCTTTCCATGCAGCATGGCATTGCATTTATAAACAGCACAGGTCTAAAGAGCTTAAAGTCAAATCTATTGTTTACATGCAGCAAGCTTGGGTACCTCTGCACCGAAACCGTCACCGGTTTCCCTGTGCCAGAACAGGCACAGAGAAAGGCAGGTTTTATCAGTTCTTAGCAGTGTTTTCTGTCACCTCATTTAATGAAGTCTGCAGATGTTTCTTATCTTATTGTTTTGCTAAGGTTGGAAAATCCAATGCCAACACACGTCATTAAGACTTTCTCCCCACCCATGTGCTCTTCCTCAGGGGTCTTTGTTTCAATTTTAAACATGATCTGGAAGAAGCTTCTCAGGTGTCGCAGAAACTCAATTCTGAGGGAGAGAAAACAACAGAATTTAAGAAACAAAACAGAAGGTGCATTAGCAGTATGTATTAATGCTAATTCCAGCAATAAGCATAGTTTACAGAACATGAAAATATTGCTTAGTACAGAGAAACAAGCCTACAGGCTTCAAACATTGATCTCACTTGTATTGTAGAAGTGGCTAGTGACACCTATTGAAACCACTGCACTCTGGACGAGCAGAGAGAAGGAATGCCTGGTAACACAGCCAGACCAAATGGTGAGGGAAGCAGAAAGAAAGGAGAAAGATGTTGCCAGCCAAGGTCACTTAACTAATCATGCTGACTCTTGATCAGGGCCATACGAACCCCACACTAATCTGTGGTAATCCTTCCCCCTCTTCCCCCAGTGTTTAAAGCAGAAATAAAAGATAAACAGGGACATACAAAAGGTTGGTCTTAGGTTCATAGTTTAAGAAGAGAGACATTGGATTCTAAAGCATGTCTTTGATTTGTATTACTAACTTGTCCACTTCTTAGTTAAATGTTTCACTAGAATCACATTCAGACTTAGAATTCTTCCTGTTTTCTCTCCTCATTTTCAGGGGAAAAAAAAAAAGTAATCTTCCTTTCATCATTTTGGAATGAGAGGCACAAAGAGACTAAACAGAACTCCTGAACACCCACTGACAGAGGGTGACTGACGGGGTAAATAACTGAAAAGTATATAAAAAGAACAAAAACAGTCAAGAAAACACGCCCATTGGCTTCCTCAAAACACTGAACAAGCAATTACACCAAAAGGCTACAAATGTAACATGTGTAATTGTTCCTGCCAGAAGTCTGGTCTCTTCCAATCATGGCCACACGCAAGTCTGCGGTCTTGAACTAAGGTTTAATTTCCTGAAGCAATTGGTATGTGCCCTTCTTAGATTAAGTTTAACCTTTAAAGAAAGGGAATGTGCACATCCAGACCACAAATTTGTTTGGCTGGCAATCTGGAAAAAGCCTCTGCTCTGCATGCTGAGAGCATAATTGCAAACTAATCACACTTACATCACTACAACAAATCAAGATAAATTACCCACAAAATGGGAAGCATGAGACCAAGAGGACAGAACTGTCTGCACTGCAATGTCATGAGGCCTCTGAAAGCCTTCTTGTAGCTCCTATTCACAAAATTTGCAAATAAGCACAGTGAAAGTCGCAAAAGCAAGAACTACTTTATCCTCTTCAGCTGGGCATGCTGCTGCTGCTCTCGAGTATGTGCGTGGGGAGTGGAGGGAAAG